TATACCCCTTCTAGGTATCTTCCTGAAAGAGTTAAAGACATCATATTACAGTGATACGTACATACTCGTTTATAGCAGCAGAACGCATAATAGCTAAATCTTGCAAGTGGCTTATATGTCCACCAACAGATGAATGGATAAAGAAAATGTATTTCTACAAAGTCGATTACTACTCTGACATAAAAGAGAAATAAATCATTTGTAGGAAAATATAGCTTAAATATCACATGGTTTCTCTTATATGAGAAACCCAAAATATAAATAAAGAGCAAAAGAAAAGATAGACAATAGGTAGTAAGGGAGATAGATCTTTTGCAAATGCGAGGGACACCAAAAGGTGGAGGGAGGGGAGGGGAAGGGGATGAAAAAAGAATTAAGATGTGTTGTGTAAGTATATCAACTCCCTACAAAGAATGTAATCATTATATAATGAAAATATTTACTAATAAAAAATAAAAACGGAAAAAAATAAAATTTTTTATTTTTAATGGACAAATTATAATTGTACATAGTCATGGGGTACAGTGTCATGTTATATGTATCCATCGTGTAATAATTAAATCAAACTAATATAACTGTCACTTCTTTTTTGTGATGAGAACATTTCAAATTTACTCTTAGCAATTTCAAAATGTACAAAATTATTATTAACTATAGTCATCATGCCATGTGATAGATTTCAAAAAACTTAATCCTCCTGTCTAACTGAAAGTTTGTACCCTGTGACCAACATTTCCCATTCCCCACACCATGCAGCCCTCTGTAATCAACCACGCTACTCTGCTTTTATAAGTTTAATTATTTTGGAGATGCTCATAAAGCTTAGAAGTACTGTCAAGTGTCTTTTCATTTCAACCTGAAGAATTCCCTTTAAACATTTCTTAGAAGGCAAATCTAATGGTAATGAAGTCCCTCGGTTTTTTTGTCTGGGATATTTTAATTTTCTTGATTTCTCCTTTTTCTGGGGGAGTACTTGGGGTTGAACCCAGGGGTACTCTACCATTAAGCTTTATCCCCAGCTCTGTTTGTTTGAGACAGGGTCTTTCTACCTTTAGTATCTCTTGTGAGGCAAGTCTGCCAACCTCATTTTCTCTGCTTTTGTTTATCTGGGAATTTATGTCATCTTCTTTTTTTTTTGGTACCGGGGATTGAACTTGGGACCTTGCGCTTGCAAAGCCAGCGCCGGAACCACTGAGCTAAATCCCCAGCCCTTCATCTTCATTTTTGAAAGACAGTGTGGCTGGATTCTTGGTTGTCAGCTTCTTCATTAAGCAGTGTGTCTATGTTACCCTGTTGTCTCCAGCCTCTGTTGCTTATAAGTTAGCTGTTAATGTTACTGGGTTTCCCTTGTTTCTGAGGAGTTATTCTTCTCCTGTTGCATAAAAGAATTTCTCCTTGTTAGTCTTTTATCATTTTTACTTTAATGTATCTATGAAATTCTTGGGGTTTATCCTACTTGGATTTCAATTAGCTTTCTAGATGTGGATTGTTTTCTGATAAACTTGGGAAGTTTTTAGGCATTCTTTCTTTCTTTTTTTTTTTTTTTTGGTACCGGGGATGGAACTCGGGTCCTTGCACTTGTGCAGCAGGTGGTGAAACCACTGAGCTAAATCCCTGGCCCTAGGCATTATTTCTTTGAAAAATTTTCTGCACTTTATTCTGTGCCTTCTGATGTGCTTCTGTGCTCAATTTGTACAGTTAATGGTATCCTAAATGTTTCTCGGGATGTATTCATTTTCTCTTTTCTTTGGATGGCATAATCTATTTTGATCTGTCCCAAGTTTGCTAATTCTTCTGACATTTAAATCTACTGTTAAAACCCTCTTGTGAATTTTTCATATCAGTTATATTTTTCAACTTTAGAATTTCCATTTTGGTATTTTTATAATTTCTATTTGTTGATATTCTGAATTTGATATAACATTGTCATCATACCTTCCTTTAGTTCTTTAGGATTTCTTTTAGTTCTTTGAATATATTTTCTGTTGTTTGTTTGAGACAGGGTCCTACTATGTTATTCAGGCTGTCTTTGAACTCTTGATCCTCCTGCCTCAGCCTCCCAAGTAAGTGGGATTACAGGTGTACCCCACCATAACCAGCATTTGAAATGTATTTCTAATGGTGACTCTGAAGTGTTTGTTAAACCTAACTTCTGGTTGCTCTTAGGCACTTCCTGTTGCTTGTTTTTTTGGTTTTTTGTGTTTTTTTTGGTACCGGGGATCAAACTCGGGTCCTTGCACTTGCACAGCAGGTGGCGAAACCACTAAGGTAAATCCCCGGCCCTGTTGCTTGTTTCGCGCCCCCCCCCCATGTATATGCTGTTCTCTTTCTTTGCATGTCTGATAACTTTTTTGGAAATTGGACATTTTCAGATAATATATCATTGGAACTCTGGATACTGCCCCCCGGGGGGTATTACATTTATTTGCTTATTTGTTTAGTTCTGGCTGGATTATTTTAGTGAATTCAGTCTCCCTCCTCATTCCTCTTGGTGTAGCATTAAGTCCCTAATGTTGCCCCTCAGTGAGTGGAGCCAGGGAATGCCAGTGGAGTGACTGGGTTTGGCAGGCCTCTCATCTTTTCTCGGGCTACTCAGCTTCTAACATTCTTTCATCTCCTATAGATTGTCTTGTTGATTTCAACAGTCCCCTAGGGTATACATTTTCCCACAGACTGATAATAGTCATTTTGTTTTTCTGTACTAGGAATTGAACCCAAGGCCTTCTCACTGAGCTACGTCCCCTTCCCGCTTTATAGTTTTTTAGACAGTCTTTCCAAGTCACTAAGTTGCCCAGGCTGGGCTCAAACTTGCAGTCTTTTTGCCTCAGCCTCCCAGAGTGCTAGGATTACAGAGAAGTAAATGTTGGCTCTTTTGACATGATTGTTCATAAGATCAGTGTTTGAAATTTTGTTTTTCTGACTCCAGGGGCCTCCTCCCAGGCTCTTGGTTTTCTCTAGTAAACTAGCCCAAACTATTGCGCAGCCTGGACGCCAGGGAATCTGTTAAATGCTCCCTAGTTGCCTTTCACCATTACTTCTGCTCCTTTTTTGAGAGCACTCAGGTTGGATTCTCTATGGTCTGCTCCAAAGAAAGTCAGTTCATTTTGGAAGAGTTGGTATTCTGATTTATGACCTGCTTCTATCCCTAGAGTCTGAGATGGCTCTGGAGGTAGGGGTGGGGACAATGACATGCTTGTGAGTAATGCCTCCACTTTAGACACTGAGCACTCTAGGCCAGGCATGGGTAGTCCACGCTTGTCCTAGCTACTGAGGAGGATCACTTGAACCCAGGAGTCTGAGGCCAGCTTGGGCAACACAGCAAGACCTGTATTTTCTTTTCTAAAAAAGAAAAGAAAAATAAACCTGAGCAGAAGGTGGGGATAGCAGCCTCTGGTCTTGGTATGCTTTGCCTAGTGGGGACTCTTCACTTTGTGGTCTATAGTTAAGAATTGGAGCCTTTTATTTTCAGCACTGCCACAGCCAGGGTAGAGCTTCTGTCCCCCAGGTCTCTATAGCCCGGGTGGAGGAAGGGAATTCCTACTTCTTCACTGTAGTCTCCAGAAATTTAGCCTCAGCCTGCATGCAGCAGGTAATACACTAATGGCCAGCCCTTCCCAGAAGCCTTTCAACTAGAAGCTGCTGGCTAACAAAGGCTGCATTCTTGGCTTCACCATTCTGCAGACTTTTTTTTTTTTTTTCTGGAACCAGAGACCAAACTCAGGACTTTGTGCTTGCCAGGCAGGCACGGTGCCACTGAGCTACATCCCCAGCCCCATTTTTCTTTTATTTTTGGTACCAGGGATCGAACTCAGGACCTTGTGCTTGCAAGGCAGGTGATGGGATCACTGAGCTAAATCCCCAGCCTTCACCATTCTGTAATAGTTTTTGTTTCACTGAGCTCCAGGATGGCACTTGGTCTTTTTTCACGTAACAATGACTCTCACTATTCTTAGAGGTTTTAGTAGCATTTAATGTTTCTTCATATGCTGTGTGCCTCCAAGGCCTTTTATATACTTGAAATGGTTGGTTCTTAAAATAATTCTCAACGGTTTCATTGAAGAGGGGTCTGCAGAGCTCTTCATGCTGTCATGTGCATCATGGAACCAACCAGGATTATATTTTATATTTAGTTACATCTCATTTAATCCAGAACAGTTCCTCATGGTTTTTTTGGTACTGGGGATCGGACTCAGGACCTTGCGCTTGTGAGGCGGGGGGAGCACCACTGAGCTAAATCCCCAGCCCCCCTCACGATTTTGATATTTTTGACATGAATAGGCCATGCATTTTTATAAAATGTCCCTTGGTCTAGTTTTTCCATTTTCTCTTGAATAGATCCAGGTTATGCATATGTCAGGGGCCCCACCCAAGTGATATGTGCTCAGTACACTGTATCAAAAGGCGATGACGCTTGTTTGAGAACACATATGTGCTGAATGTCACATAGCTTTTCATTTTTCCTCAGTACTGAGGATTGAACCTAGAGTCTTTGCACTGAGTTCCATCTTCACCTTTTTTGAGAGAGGGGTCTTGGCAAATCACTAAGTTACTCAAGCTGGGCTTGAACTTTTGATCCTTCTGTCTCAGCCTCCAGAGTGCTGGGATTACAGGCCTGTGCCACCATGCCCAGCACAGTACTTTTTTGGTTACTAGTTAGGTTGAATTTTATGTATTGGCTAACTGTATTACTGTTTTATAAATGTTGCAGAACTATCTATGGGATTTTATTAATTCTAGTATTCTAATGTTGGATTTCAAGAACTCCTTATATATTAATGCCTTTACTCTCTTGGCATAAATGTTGCAAGTATTTTTCCTGGTTTATTGTGTTTGCTGTTTTATACTTACTTTTTTTAAAGCTTGAAGTTTTAAATTGTTATGTAAATACTAGTATTTTTCCCATATGGTTTACACCTTCAGTATCATACTGCAGAAAGCTTCTAAGATTGCAGAAATGTTTTTCTACTACATACTGATTTTCTTTCTGTTTTCCCAAATAGGTACGTTTACGGGAGCACATGGGTGACAAATACACAGCTTACAGTGTGAAAGCTCGCCAGTTGAAATTTTTTGAAGAACATGTGAATTTTTGAATTTGTTAGAACTAGACCTATTTTCAAAGGTTTTTGGCTTAAAAAACAAACCATGGAAGAGTTGTTTAGAGGCCATTCACCATCCTTTTATATGTCTCTCTGGAGTTTTCATACTTGAAAAAATTAGACAGAACAGAGTAATATGAGCCTAGTTCACAAAAGAAAAAATCTTTGGGTTTCATATTCTCTTTATGAGGAAAAATGTTACATTTGTTTGGTCACTGGTTTCTGAGCCTTAAAGCATCAACTTTATATCTAGAGCTTTATTTTTTTAAGATATTACCTTGAAAGCAGGGCCATAAAGCACTGGGTTGGAACTTTTATATGTACTACAGTGATAAAGGCTACAGGAGAAATAAAGACATAGTATGTGTAGTGATGTTTTCTGCCAACCTTCAGGAGTAGTTAATATTTTTAAAAGTTAATTCATAAAAAAAAGTTAATTCATTATTCTGGAAAGATTTAAAGAATATGAGCTTCTGTGTGGTATACGGGCAAATGATTCCTTTTTTTTACACATTGATGGGCTTTCAATATTTTGTTTTCATTTAATATGTACCTCATTTAGGGTATATAGGAATTGAAGTTAAAGTATTTTGGTTTTGTATCATGTTTTTCCATTATTAGTTTTGTTAGATTCATTTTCCCATCAGCAAAAACAACTCAAACACTAATTCCTTTTCCAGTGAAGCAATTTGTAAGTAGAACCCAGATCCTTTTAGTTATACTGGATATATGTAATATTTGTCTCATGAAATTTGTCTTCATGTTCATCATGATAGTGTTGTTCCCTAAAAGAGTTTGTATCACATATTTTATTAGTTTAATTAAAGAAATAATTCTTATTTAGGAAAAGTTTTTATAGAATAAAATGCAAGTCTTGGTTAGTAATATTTCACTTATGTACTGAAGGAATTCTAAAAATGACTACTTCTCCAGATGTTTTTTTTTTTTTTGGTACCGGGGATTGAACTTGGGACCTTGCACTTGTGAGGCAGGTGGTGGAACCACTGAGCTAAATCCCCGGCCCCAGATGTTTTGTTTCTATAAAGTTTTCTTTAAAGTTTCTATAAAGTTGTTTCTATAAGTTTTCTTTGAAAACTATACATAAAATGAAATGTTCTAAGGAAATATTCTTTTAGTCACTTAAATTAATATTTAATTTTTACTATGTGCCAGGTGCTATATCAGGAACTAAGGATAGAGTAAATAAAACAGGACTTCCAGCCCTTAACAGTGCTCACAGTCTAGTTTCTGAGACTTCTCATTTTGACTCTGAAGGTTTACTAGAACTGAACTTGTAAAACCATCTAGTCCCAGAGCCCACTTCGGGGCGCATCTTTGGCAGCCTGTCAATCTTCTTGAGCTGTTTACCGCTTGCATATCTCTGGATAGTCACTGTTTTTACTTACATCTTTTTTTCTTCCTTTTTTGGCAGTTGTGGGGTTTGAACCCAAGCCCTTCACACTGAGCTACATCTCCAGCCCTTTATTTTGACTCAGGGTCTCATTATGTTACAAAGTTGTCCAGGTGGGGGCCAACTTGTGATTCGCCCTGCCTCAGCCAGAATGCTAGGATTATAGTCATGTATCACCATACCAGCTGGTTTTACTTAAGTTTTTTCATTTATTGGTATAAAGCAGTATAAATTATTTTCTTAGAATCAGAAGAATATTCTCCTTAATTTTTTATTCCTATGCCCTATAGCACAGTTTTCATCCTACTGTTCTTTGGTTATTTTGTGGTTCTTTTTTTCTTGAATGCTTAATTTTTTATCTTAATTTTATTTATTTATTTTTATTTTTTGGTGTGCATCACTACATCAGCTTTTTTGTTGTTTTGTTTTTGGTACCGGGGATTGAACTCAGGTCCTTGCGCTTGCAAGGCAGGCAGCAAAACCACTGAGCTAAATCCCTGGCCCTCTTATCTTAATTTTAAAACATTCTTTCAAGACTAAATTTTCTTGTGACTATATCATTGACTACATTTCACAGACTGATACCTTTTGACATTAGTTTCTAAAAAGTCAGTCATTCTGATTTTCTCTCTTAAAAGTGTTTCTTAATTTCCATAGATTTAGAAAGCCAAGAAAGTTCCATGCCCATACCCTAGCTACTCTGCAGTGTTGTTACTGAGCATGACCTGCACCACCACTACTTGGAGGTTTTTTCCTCCTCTTGCTTAGTACATGATTCATTGTTGGAATGGCCCTGTGGGCATTCAATAAAAGTGAATTCTGGGGGCTGGGGATTTAGCTCAGTGGTTCTGCCACCTGCCTAGCAAGCACAAGAACCCGAGTTCAATCCCCGGTACCAAAAAAAAAAAAAGAAAAAGAAGTCAATTCTGTTATACAAAAATCACTCATTCATTAAATATTACTCAGTTTTTGTATAAGACCTGATTGATACATGATGACGGAAATGTTGTTTACATTGTCCAATGTGGTAGCCATTAGTCAAACATAGCTATTGAACTCTTGAATTGTGGCTAATCTGATCAAAGAACTGAAGTGTTAATTTCAGTGAGCAAAAGGAAGTCTCTGTTTCCACTGAGCTAATGTAGTAAGAACAAATAACAAAAAAGTAAAAACCGTGAGATATATTAAATGCCATGAGACCTAGCAGGCATACTGCTGTATTTCATTAGGGCAGTAGGGAAACTCAACTATAGTGACATCTGGGTAGAGACTTCAGTGAGAGGAGGGAGCAAGCTGTGTATCTGAGGGAAGGTATTCCAGGGAGAGGGAACAAGTGCAAAAGTTTTCCTATCTAGACACTATTTGCTCTGCCAAATTCTGAAAGGTAAAAGTGCTGGCCTGTTTATCAAGATTGTAATTTTGCCAAACTTTTTTTTTTTTTTTGCAGTACTGGGGACTGAACACAGGGCCTTTTGCACTACACTATATCTCCATCTCTCTTTTTTTTCCGGTACCAGGGATCGAACTCAGGACCTTGCGCTTGTGAAGCAGGCATGGTGCCACTGAGCTAAATCCCGGGTCCTCTCCATCTCTTTTTGAGACAAAATCTTGCTAAGTTGCCCAGGCTGGGCATAAATTTATGATCCACCTGCTGTAGCTCCAGAGTGCTGGGATTACAAGCATGTGCCACCACGCGCAGCTCTTGCCATACTCTTATACATGTAACATCTGTTTTATACAGTTCTTATTCAATGCATAATGATTCATAAGTAACATTTTACCAGCTATGTAATATCCTCTTAGCTCCACCTAATAATTTCTGATATCAAGTGTCTGACTTTTTAAATTGTTACTCCACCTTTCCACTTGTATTTGCCCTATATTTTTTCTGGTATTGGGAATCGAACTCAGGACCTTGCACTTGCCAGGCAGGCATGGTGCCACTGAGCTACATCCCCAGCCCTATATTATCCTTG